GAATTTACAATTAGTGAAAACCTAGCGAGACTAATATAAACTCAATTGAAATACTAAAATAATGTTAGTATGATTCAGAAACAATATCCTTGTGATTGACGTAATACTTCATTCAACAACAAAAAACAAGCACACATGAAAATATTTTACATTATTGTGTTGTTTCCATTTGTTTTTTTTGTTCTTTTATTGTAAAAACCGTAATCATGTGAATACTTAGTGTAAAAAGGGGTAATACTTGTAATAAAGCATTAAAAGTTTCAAGTGATTTTTTCTACATAACTTTCAAGCTAAGAACAATTAGCAAATTTATGTCAGTGGTACATTTCTATCAAATAATGCCGTTAACAAGTTAAAATGTACCCACACAACATAATTGTTACAATCTTTCTTTCGTGTGTTTTATACATTCAATTCATTTAAAGATTGAATTAGTTATTTGTAAATGGAATAGTTAGGCATAACTAGAAGCATACCATCCAAAGACTGTAACAAAATTATGTATGCAGTTTTTTTCGAATGCAATCAATTTCAATGATATATGATTGTAATTGAGAGGAAAATACTAACTTTTGAAGATATCGCATTCGTATATGTAAATGCTATAATTGTGTGATATTGATTGTCTTGCCAGAAAAAAACCTCTTTTAGTAGTTTCCAGCGCAAAGGACGAAGCTCTATCAAAATTATCCATCTGAGTTACAAAACTTCTTCACCACCTCAGGAAACAAAATTATCGGAATAAATTTCAAGGGTGAACGATCAGTTAAACAATTATTTACAAATTGTTAGATTTTTATATCGACACAGATTTCCTGCTTGAAAATAGTTTAATTGCTTAATGTATTCAGCTTTCAATAGTTAGGTTGAAGGTAAGGACTCGGCTCCACCTAGTTCGATTTAAACAGTAGGTAGCATTACTGACCTTGATGACTAGGTATGTCTCAAATCCTGGTATACATCCGTGTTAAATCACTGAGTAATATGATTATTCCTCGGGATAAATCTGTCTTCTGAACCACATCAAATAAGCTAATTTAAAACAACACAGAATTTCAAAATATAAGTACGGTTATTAACAAGAATAATTGTCAGTGAAAGTTGAAATGATGAGAACTCACTATACAATGTTCATATGAGTTTTCATCGCTACATGATTTGCTGTGTAAAATGAATTAATTTAGAGAATTCCGTTCAAATATATTATATATTGAAATATTAATAAGAACCAAGATAGTAACTATCCTTCAGTACAAAATCTGAAAAAAGTAATGTCAGCCAAAATCAACTTAATACCTGTCTTTGTATAGAAAATTTTTATGCTGTGATTAAATTGCTTAGAACGGATAAGAAAAACTTTACAGTTGTAGCATACAGTCAGAATGACAAGGTGCGGAGACGGACTTATACGGAAAGCATATTCTTAGTGGAGATCTTATTCCAAATCTCGTTTAGTGAGAATTCTTTTATTTTTCATTTGTTTAACGTGAACTCGCAACTAAAGTATATGATTAATAATCTATCAAATAATAAGCAATTTTTTAGTACAAATTTCCCGAGTTTCATTCACGTAATTCTTAGATTGTTGTTTCATAATGTCAATGAATCTGTACTTACATATTTTGGGAAGTATGACAGTTTGAGTATACTCATTGGTGACCATCAACTTCGCTGAAGTACAGCACTTCAGTATAGGTTCAGTGAGTAATCGCTAGGTTTAAACATTTTTAGCTTCCTGACTCCCATGATTTCCATTTTATTTTAAACTACATTGAACAAATTCACAGAATATTCTTCAACAAATTGTCAGTTGTTCTTTTGTCGATAGATTAATACAAAGTCTGTCAATGTTATCCTTTTAATGTATAATAATTCTAAACTTCATTAAAACCAATTATTGCAATATTCATCCATAAACAAGCTAGCAAAGATTATAGTCGTTACTGGCGAATAGAGTTTCGAGTGTTTCCTTAACTTTCATACTTCATGAGCATATATCAGATTTTCGTCAGATCAATGTGTACATTTCGAAAAGCTTGAGTTCTATGATAGCTTATCGTTAGGATGTTCAAAATAATTTATTATATGTAATAAGAGGAGTGTTATCAACGTAATTACGATAAAAAAGAATTCATGTCAACTAGGAAAGATGAATGTGAAGATTAAGATATAAACACGAAAGGAATTGGAAGGGGGGATAAGCGGTTTATAATATCCAGTTTAGGTATCCGGTGATCCAGTCGCGGGTCAAGGTAAATAAAGAGGCTGGATATGTAGAGTGGCCGTAATCTAACTCCTTTAGGTAGATTCTCTAGAACTTGACATAAAACCGAGAAAGCCTCATCTATCTTAGTATGATGTTCACTACCTACTAAGTGAGAAAGAATGGTACTGTTAATTGATTTAATGATTTCTCTTCCCAAACATGCTGGTACATGTTCACGAACACTCAAGGATAAGGCCACCTGAGTACGGCCTATGTAACTGGCTCCACAGGAGCAGTTGAATCAGTATACCCACATAGAGAAGCCCGTCATCGGTAAACCATCCTTAATTTGTTGTACTGGTTTGCTTGAGAAAATCGTAACTTGGCGGTGTAAAACGTCGATGTTTTAAAATGTCGCCCACTATGTCTCATTTAAAACTCAGTTTGAGTCGGGTTTTTTTTCCAATGACCGTGTCACAACTTTTTTTTAACACCTAATAGAATTTCTCTGAAGAAATCATTTTGCAATGTGCTCTTCAGGTTATCGATTTCGTTATCCACACAATTTTCAGAACATAAGAGTTTGATTCTGTCTATTTTGTATTGAAGAGGTGTAAAGTTATGGAAACGAGTATACTGACCTTCCATCTCTATAGATACATTTCCTTTTATGAGACCGTCTATCCTTCTAGAAATTAGGACATCACGGAAAACTATACTATTGTCGTTCTCCTCTTCGATGATGAATTTAATAGCTGTTGAACAGATATTGTTTGTCAATACTCTCGTCACACACTATTAGAGTGTGGTTATTTGCCCTACTTGTATTTATATAAAGTGGAAACCACAGTAAACGACGAACCTTCAACATCATACGAAAGATGGAGCACTAGATTTGCAACGGTCTCAGATGTAACCATATTTGAGAGTCTAATGGAGTCACCATTCTACAAATAGAATGGTGAAATCCAAGTCGACAAATTATTTCACAGACATCAGAGGATTAGGGGACGAAACAGGTGCAAAGGAAACAGCCAGTTTTCATAATTGTACTGCGGAATGTACTACAACCCTGTTTTGGAAGATGTCAAGATGAACAATGATAGAAAAGTGGCATAGAAGCTTTAGCCAACTAGTCGGAGCTTTTCATCCGAAAATATGTGAATTCACTGATACTCTAAAACAGAAACAATCTAGATGAATTGAAAACCGAGCAGTTTGTTGCAAGGATTCGGAAAAGCCATGACAAAAGCAAGTAAAATAAGTTAGCACCACGCATGAAACTAGTTGTGGATTACGGAAATAGATCGATACTAGAGTGCTTAGTCGAATAGTATAATTTGAATTTGCACATTTAGATACACCAAAAGGTTTTGTAAAAAGTTAAAAATTTGAAATTTACATCTATATTACGTCAGTAAATCTTCCTTTCCATGTCCGAACCTGATACACACTTGATCAGTCAATATATAAGCGATAATATTTCAGAATAGTATTAAATTGCCCCTTCGAATTCATCCTTTAATTGCTCCGTGCCCTTATTGGAGGATAACCTCAAGAAATATTGTAAATATTCCAGTTGGTTTGAACTTGCACGTTTATCTACTGACACACTAGTCGAAGGTATAAACAGAACGCATAAATTAGAGTATTACCACTTTCATTACAAAAATAATTGGTGAATTATTGCAATAAAGTTGATTATAGAATGCTATGTCAACTTGTTAATTCCGCGCTAATTGCGACGATACGGTGACGACAATGTAACAACAATGAATTTACTAATCTAGGTAATCATTCGTGTTACAATGAAAACTGATCACTTGAATACAGAAGCAACTGAGGTACCCGAATAGACAAATATACCCACATATCCTGGTCGAATAAATCACTAACAGTAGGACCACATTCTGACTAAGAATTAGTCCTTATTCACGTAAGTACATATATAATCAATCAATAGGGTATAACTGAGGGAACAAGGGTTCATAAAACAATGACTACATTCCTGTATGCCACTATATGTAGATACCTATCACTCCCGCTAGAATAAAAAATAAACAGAGTATGCTGACCGTAATCAAGAATTCTAATTTTATTTAGAAATATAACTAATGAATCACTTTCCTAAATTATCTGTATTCCTTGATTTAAAAAAAAGGCAAAATACACACTAGAATAGAAATTAATCAATCATAAACGATTTGTAGATGACCTTTATCGATTCATTTCACTATAAACGAGAACAATTGAATACGGTGAGAATACAACAAACTGATAAAATATAACTATAGATTAGATTAGTTTATTTGATTAGAAAATAATTATGTATGTATATGTAAATTATTAACAAAAACAAAAAATAGACTTACATATCATGCAGTCATTTTTTTAAAAATTGAGGTTTATTTTAAAAATACAGCAGAGATCAAGCATAATATGTAGCGAAGTTGAAAATAAAACAAAAAAATCTGTATCAACAAATGAGAACAAAATTTATCACTTCTTTTTAAGTTTTTCAAAACGTTCTGCCAGAGTGTCGAAATCTGCTTTTTCATCATCTGGAGGAGGGTTACTAGGTCCATTCATTGGTGGCATCATAGCGAAGCTACCTGGAGGAAGTGTTGTGAAACTATCTTGAGGTGGTAGAAACGAAGGACCAGGGTAATTAAATGGTACGACAGCATTTTGACCATTGCATACAGACATATCATATGGCGGTGGCATAACTGTATCGCCATTGGTTGCTAAAACAACAAATAAATACTGCATGATCAATTATATATATATATATATATATATATATATATATATATATCAACTTATAATTATGTTGTGATGTTAGCTCCAATTATTTCTGAAGTTTTATCAGCCCATGGGAACTAGTAGATAACAAAATCTGAGATAAATATTAGATAGCCTACTAAAGAAACAAACTTGTTTAGCCTAGAACTAATTAAGTGCGTATTAAAGTCCCTACTGGTGATATGCATGATCGAACCATCGGGTGATTAATGCTACATATTAACTTATAAGAGTAACAACTGCAACTAGCTGTATAAACAATAAAATGGCCAGAAGTTAAATCTAGTTAGTGCTTTAAAATGATGGGCAGATGATGAATGATTGATACTCAACTTCATAAATGAAATACACCGAGAATGAAGTTGACTCGATAGGAAAAGTCATAGAGGCACATTAATATTTGAAAAATTGAATAACTAAGGCGAAGAGAACTTCGACAAAATCTATGAACAAAAAAATATCCACTTATAGAAGCCATCAATTCAGTAATGAAGTATAAAACATTGGACGTAAACTAAGATTTATTACCTGATTGAGTGGTAACTAGTTATAAAATAATGACAAAAAGAATGATTTATGAAACTCGCTAAGTATAGATCAGTGAACTCGGTTATGTAAACCATTTTGTATGAAAGCTATTAATGCTACCCAACTGCTCAAGCTGAAGATGGAGTGGGAATCCAACATGTGAGCTAGTGGTTGAAAGTCAAACGCTTCAACCACTAAGCCGCAGGTTTATAATAAAAAGATGGGATCGACAAAATATATATGAGATATTCATTATCGGAATGTAGACCAGCAGAAACTTACAAAAAAGATACTCCACTCCTACACTTTCAACAATGCTCAGTAACAGAGGCATGGTGACTAAAGAATAGAGAACAGATACTTTTACAGGAAGACAATCAATAAATGGAAATGAACTATTGTGATCGATTTTGATGCAAATCATTCAAAGTTTATAATAAAGTGGATGACAATTAACAAGCTACAGGATATAAAATAAGATTTTTCAGGGAGGAAATTATTTAAAATATAAAAAGGACAATGTATCATGGATAAAATTTTAAATGCCTAAAAAAGGTATCAGTAAGAAAAGATACGCTCAATACAGATCAGTCCAAGCATGAGAAAATATAGTAGTCATACATATTTCAGAGTCGCACGAAATGAACGTTCAATAATCTCATTAAACGTTGCAACACACTCCTACAGTTGGTACTGCTTCATTACTATATTCTGGACCATTAGGATGATTCTAAATGTAGTACGACAATCTCAAGGACACTCTGTGTCCACCAACCTGGTTAAAGCACCGGATATTCACTGCTCGTTCTCTTAATTCCGTAAACAGCACCGCCGTGAGTAGGACTTCCCCGGCAGTGGCTGTATAAGCGTGGCCATGTGAGAACATTTCAAGAGGGAGAGCTAACTCTCCCCCCTCTTTCGGCCGTATCAAGGAGTTTTGAAGTTGTTTTTTTTGGTGGGACCCTTTATTTTGACGTCAATAATATCGAACGATGTTATCGACGGGACCACAGATTTGATGGCCCTATATCTGACTCTAGTTGGATAATTTCTGTTATCGAGGTGTACATGTGGCCAATCCCGTATATAGTTATCGACTTAATCCGTGTTAGTGAATAACCGGATTAAATAAGCCAAATATGATAATGGATTTTTGAATATGTATATTTTGTACACTCATTGATTTGAACAATCACAGGAATGAAGCGAAGAGAAATGACGTGTGAGCCAACTTGGTTTAATCAAGCATTAATCAATAAGCTACAGACATGTGATAAGTTGGATAAGCACATACACATACGCTCATATAAAAAGTTAGCGTTGATAAGTGAACAATTAACAAGGTCAAAACGCGACTCAAGAAGAATAGATATATTGGCCTGTTCATAAGCTAGAATAAGTTATGCGGGTTTAACACAGTAACCGACTCGACAGTTTTCCTAACAGTTAGACAATCTGGACACCGTTAATACACTTAAGCTGGAACAATATGAAAAGCACTTGAGGAACACCAAATGACTAAAAAATACAAATTTACTTAAGAGAAAAACATGAAAGGGACTTACTGGTTGTGTTTGAGGGCACTGTTTCATTTGATGGGATGCCTGATGGAATCTTAGTTTCATTAATAAATTCCGTAGGATAAGGAGCTTTATCGGACATCGACGTAGTTGCCCATGGCATGCTGCATGCTCCAAAGTTGGAAGGCATACTAGGTAACCCAACGGAACTATCAGGTTTGAATTCAATCAAGTTATCGTTGAACATTAGATTAGAGTCGCAAATGACATGTGTGTCCGGAGTGAAATTAACATCATAACTTTTCGAGATTTCAACCTGGTATTGTGTATGAAAAGGGAAATGTTTGTAGACATCAGAAAGACAATATGGAGCAAAATATGATAAGATAAAAAGGATCTATGAAAACAATTGTAGATAACCACACTTTATGATAACCACAATAATCAGACTTCTTTTCGGCTGAAAAAGTGATAAATTGAACACCTGATAACAAAGAGAACTAAGAATTAAACCATCAATATGAAAGACTGGACGAAACAAGATATTTTAAGAAACGAACTTATATTAACCTCAAGAGAAAGATGAAAAGACAGTAGGGTGACTTTTGGTTGGTTTTTAGGAAAAAAGAATTCTCCGATTTTTTAGAATTCATCCACTGTTAAAAATTGATTAATGAAGACAATATTGACCAGTTGATGAAATGTATTTGGTCTAAACCTCCGAATAAACTGATGATAAAGACAAAACCACTACCCAGAAGAAACTTTTTATCCAATAAAATAACATACTAATTTTAAATCATTATCTTTAAAACAGCATTTAACTACCAGGTTTAATCTCACTGAGTTAGCATCTGGAATACGTCTCTTGTTTCTCATATTCTCATGAATCTTATTCATAATTGTTACTAATATCACTACATTGTGCTAAACTATTTTAATACCATCAGTAATTGCAACAAAAACGTTTAATTTACCACACCTCATTCAGAAGCTAAACAAACTTTTATCGTTTACCTTATATAACCCAGTATTACAATCTATTTGGCCATACTGTTTACATTTTCTCAGGGAATCCCATATACAAGCATATATACAACCGCTGAATTTCCCATTTTTAGGAACCGAAGCCTCAAAAACACGAGAAGGCAAGTTTGAGAATACTATCTATTATTAAAATAGCACTAAGTGTGTAAAAGCCAAAATTTCTCCTGCAACTTGGTGAAAACAATTGAACATAGGAACATCAAGTGGATGATTAAAGTTATCCAGACTGTTATCACTAGGGAATAAGATTCCCTTCGACGAACTTCACCATATCTGGAATCGTTGACAACTAAACTATATATAACTAGTTATCATAAACTTCTTTAAACACACATCAAGTTTGTGGAAACTGGATGATTATGGCTTAGGGATCATAAGCTATGATGCAAAGACCATTGCTTAGCACTTTGACTGTACTTTCTATCTCCTTTTATTCTCTGCAATAATATCTCAGTTTGCATGGCCCATACTTTTCAGTGCACGCTGATATTAGAATGCTATATTAAGCAAATGTTTGGATGCGGTTAAAAATGCTCTCATTAAGACAAAAACATTCATCATTAATTAAATACAAACTGAAGAATTGTATATGACACATATTTGGTTCGGGTTTTAGCAGACCTTGAAGGGTTGCATCGGAATCTAGAGATTTACTGTACAATGAACGGTCCTGAACCGGAAGTGAAGTTGGGAATTTATTGGTAAGCTTGTTCTTGTTTCAGCTCAGCAGTGTCACTAATGAAGTGTCATGAATAACTGGACAGTTATAAAAAGCTTGGTGACTGACAGACCTTAAATTTTCTGTCGCATCTAATGGAATGTAATTATTAGCATTATATCAAAGAAGCAGTTGGAACTAACATTGATGGACATGTGGGAATAACCACATCAAAATGGGTAATGAAATGCTACGCTAACACGATTAGAGTAAGCCAAGTGGTTTTGATTGTTAGAAAAAATAACTAACCAAGTACATTTCAACCAAATTCGCCCCAGGGACGATAGAATTCAATTTTGTCATTACGGTACGATTGACCATGTTTGCCTTTTCACAGCATTCACGGACGTAATTCCTACCAAACTTAATGGCGAGCTGCTGACCGACAATATCTAGTTCAGGAATTTCATTTTTAATTCGTGATTTGGACCACAGTATAGTCGCGATTGGTGTCTCAAGAGATGCATCTGGCAACCTAAATTATGTAATATAAAGCACAGTGTCTCACTTTGCATCCTGGATTAGCCCAAATCGCGCGTTTAACGTCTCAAGATAAGACTGTATAATGTCCATGGCTTCCACACAGTAGTCATCACGAATGATTTGTTCGACTTTAATGCGAGCTCTGTCAACTTTTCCATCTTTCAAAAGGTCCGCGATTTCTCGACGAATTCCCTTTGATATTTCAGATTTCTTTTTCTGAACATATTCAAGTCGTTGAATACAAAGTCTGATATTCAACCTTAACTTTGTGTAATCACAGGTACTTGAGAACATCTTACGACGTGTCGCCTCGTGACTTGCTACTCGACTACCTTACAAGACGAAACTCTGCTTCCATATGGACCTTTGAAGCATTTAAACAATTCACTGTGGTCCAAGTGTGAAATAGTCATAGAACATAGATAACTCTCCCACTAGTCATATTTATAGAAACCCATTTAATATCGCAATGTTTTAATTAACAGTTCAGTAATACATGTACCAGCAATCCATGTTTAACTTCACTTTCGAGTAGACGCGAGACTTAGTGGCCTGTGTTAGTCCTGGCAATGCTGGTCTCTCAGCTGACTCAAATTTATTTTGAAAGAGTCGACAGATGGAGCCTTAATCACATGTTGAAGTGGTGAATTCCATTTGTTGATCGTTCGGTGGGGAAATCGATTGAATTTTTCTGGGCTTGTGAAGTTTATTAGTATTCTAGTAAATTCTCAGTTCTTGAAAAATAGGCGCATGTCGGATGTAAATCTATCGCTAAGTAACTTGCAAACTGTGTCCAAATTACCTCTGGTTCTTCCATATGACAAGGTAAAAAAATTCATTTTGGACGGGCTTTCATTATAAAAGATCTTTACGACCCTAAAAATCAGCTTAGTTGCAATTTTTGAATCTTTTCCGAAAGCTCACTGTCTCTATTTAGACAGAAGCTAGCCGCTTGCATCCAATACTCGAATTTAAGATGAATGAACACTGTAAACAAAGGCGTCGACATGGCTAAAGGCTTAACGTATTAATAATAGGGTTCTAGAACCTTTGTGAATACCACACGGCAGTGTGCAGTAGTTTTTAAGTCGTTGTTAAAGACGACCCCTAGGTCACTGTGTGTCTGGACAATAGGTGGCTTACTGTTATTTGCCGTGTAGTTATCTTTACCTTAGTGACCACTGTGAATCGTAATTTACGTACAGGAGAAACAATCCTGGCCTCAAAACTGAACATTGAAGCACTCCGCTAAGCACAGTTTTCCAACTAGACAATTTCTAGCCGACCCGTGCTCTTTGTTGACACCCGACTAGGAAGTCCTTTTTACGCACTAATGAATTGCCTTCAATCCTGATATTACATAACTTAGATAATAGCCAGTTGTGAAGAACTTTGTCGAGGCCTCAATGGAGTCAATTTTGGATACATTTGTAGGTGACTATTGAACTTTGAGAGCGCATCAACTTTCACGGGCTACTAATAAGTTCGCGATGCATAAATAACCTGTTCTAAAGCCATGTTTCTTTTCAGAAAGAATCCGGTTTTTGTCAAGATACTAAAATAAGTCTCGGACTTGTTTCAAGTGTAGGACTTACTGAGACGTCACTCCAGTCTTTTTGCCATCTGCATTGAAGTACAGGTATATCAAAAAATCCATGATAAAATTGGTTAATTCTTTCAGCACTTCAGGGTGCATTTCACTGAATCTCGTGGATTCGCCTATATCAAGCTCATTTAGTAAACCAAAGACATCAAGTTCTTTAATAATCACAGTATCCAGAGCGTGTGGGGTAGGTTTGTCGGAATAGAAAGAGGGGGCATCTCTATGTTACATACACTGTCAAAGTAATTTGAGGATACCTGAGCTTTACCACAATCCTTCTTCAATAATGATGCAATGCTACCGTCTCTGCATAATGCTGAGATGTCGCCCCTTAGTCCTTTGAGTCATATACAAGTAAAAGCACTTGAGGTATTCTAGAGACTGCTTGACATGCTTTTCTTCGTACGACCTTTTAGACATATGAAGGGTCGTGGTACAAATATTCCGAGCTTCCAATATTCGTATTTTGTTTCGTCAGCACACAGTAGACTAAATCTCACACATTCTTTCCTTCTTACAGAGAAGGATGCAGACCTCCTTACTGAAGAGCGGAGGGGAGTTTCTCGAATACCTTGGTGTAGTTCGAGGGGGTTGCGGTGTAGTCACTTTTATGTACAAATTTCTAAATACTTTCCGAGCACTTTCAATAGGGTATCCAATTCTGTTGTTCAATCTACTAAGGATGTTGAGTGGTATATTTGCTTTCAGGATGTTCGGTCTGGCTGACCAATCGCTGCTGACAAGGATATGAAAATAAAAGACTAGGATCACATGGTCGCCACTACATAAGGCTAGCATATAAAGGTTTGTGGCATTATTCTTATGGTGTGTCAGTGTGAGATCTAGTAGGGATGACTCAGATTATGGGTCATAACTAGATGCTTGTCTCATATGGTGCGCTATAGTGTATGCTACTTATGTTGATACGCATAAATAGCACGAAACAGCGATTGGAAGTAGAAGACTGAGAAGATTCAGTTGAAAGGAACAGAGAAGGGGATAGAAAACAATCTTAACAACAACGGACACGAAAGAAACGGTATGTAACGGAAAGAAAACGCTGAAAATCGCTCCACAGTATTTCGATGGATTGTACTGTCATTTATTTGTTTCTTCTCCCTGTCGTGTATTTTAACCTTTATACGGATCTCTTTTAATCACACTTTGTGTTCTTCAGTTTTCCTCGTCTGACCTTTTATTATGTGACTTTGATCAAAGACTTGCCTTCTGTTACCTAATTTTCTGTTGCATGTTGCCGGAATATTGACAGTAAGGTCGTGTTTGACTAAGTTCAAGGTCACCGCATGACTAGGAGTGTGTGTGATAACCATTGACTTCCTGTTTGGAGGGGTTGCTGGGATCACAACAGATAAATATCTGACACCATTTTGTTGGAAATATTTTTATTGATTCTCAGGTATCGAACTCCTTTGTTTTAACTGTTTCTTTTGTTGTTTAACACGCTCATTTGTGTTAGAGAAACTTTTGACTGTATAGCACAGTTTGTAGCGTCCGAGGTATTTGGTATTTTTGGTATAATTTGTTCTATTTCCTAAATTAGAACCGTTTAAATTGAGCACAGAGTTTGTGTTTTGATATAATTTAATACGAGTAACTTAAAAATGCTTTATACGGTATACAGAAAGACGTAGTCTGGTCTAATCAAATAAAATTTGGTTAGCTGGTTCTGCGTTCAAACCAAATAGTGGCATTTCGGTCGTTACATAGTAAACACGTGAAATACAGCTGGTGGAAGATATGCAGATGATGTATTTGCTAGACTATTGTGTGATTGTGCATTAAACAACAAACTGATTTCCCCACCTCAGTGTTCGTTTACTATATTTGGTGTCGCTGCAAAAGGGAATACGATGAGGGTGCAGTTCTGCAGGCGCTTTCAACAGGGTTACTACAGAGATATCTTGAAACATTAACTAGTTAAGTAGATCATTTTCAACCCAATGACATGCCCAAAGATATTTATGAGTTCCTAGTCTCATTAACTTTATGAAAGATGACTGTGGTCAGCTCTCGATTTTCCAGTTGTTTCGAGAACCAATTTTTCTTTAGCGACATTAAGTCGTCTTTCTTAGTTTTGATTTATACACATTCATCAACTTTCATTACATTAGAATCACAGTCTTGCGACACACAGGGTGATATCCTAGATGAGTGTCGACGAACTGAGTGATCAGGTTGTTGTTTTTCATTCCGGAAACAGACCTAGTTTTCTAGGTGTTTTTCGCTTGTTGGCACTTGAAGGGCGGAGAGCTGAAGAAACCTCTTTTCCTGGGTTTTTGTTTCTGATGGAGCCCTTTGAAGTCAGTCCTCCCTCCTTTGGTCCATATAAGTCAGTCGACTCTCTCAAAAAACGGGGATTCTCGGCTCTCGCGTGTGCTTATGACTTAGGAAGCCAAAGCAAGTCACATCACACGTGAAATAGGAAGAAGACAATTAATTAAATCTAATGCACTTAAATACTACGTAGTGAGTGGTTATTTCTTCATGGTATGACCAGTAACTACATTTTCTAAGATTACTCACTTTCATCTTCCTTGGTTATTCGTAGAAACCCTAACATGGATTCCCTGTTGTGACGGCCGGCCAACTCGGATTCTCTGTTGAATTTGCAGGGGATGTTCAATTCTATATAGTTCATTCTAGCCTCTGGACAGGTCAATATATACATTCTTCTTGCTTCACATTTTGACCTTGTCACTTCGCTTATTAACATTAACTGTTTTTATGTAAGAGTATATGTGTGCATCCCTTATCTTACTCCCCACATGTCTCTGACTTATTTTCGTGTGACCATAAATATCGATTCACGTTTTGTTAAATCAAGTTTGCCCACCTGCTTTCTCCAATCTGCTTCGCTCTCCTCTCTCCGTCCCTTCTCCCTGATTGTCTGTCCAGATCATCGAGTGTACGAAATATACTTATCCCAAAATCGATTTTCGTATTCGACTTATTTAAACCCGATATTGACTAGCGTGAATTATAACTCATCGACTTATAAGTCGATGGACATGTACGAGAATTTTCAGAATGTATATTTCATTAACAATCGTTCGTACGATAGACTCGATGCCACTAAAACGTTGTGGGGCAGAACATTTTGTTTGTATCACGCTGTTTACGATTAGGAACAAGTTAATCATATTGTGATATTGAGGTTGTTTTCCTACGCTCAACATTCAGACTCATGTTTCTAATTTTATGCTGGATTAGTTGTTTTAACAAGACAACCTATAACATGCTAACTCAAACTTGTACACTAGGACTGTGTGGTTGGCACCAGATGAGAAAAAAACTAAAAAAATTCAGGCAATAAAAGATATATTTATTAGATTTCTTAACATTTTGCTCTGTATATGCACTATTCGTTCTAATAAACGGCCTAACTTATTCTGACTCAGACTTCTATTCCATCATTTGAACCCACTCCACCTTGTTTAATATCATAACTCATCGTTCTTCATTGCTGCATTCTATCGTCTGCAGGCCTTAATCAGATTCCACTCTTGCGAAAAGAGCCAGTATGTGTTTAATCTGTCCGACAATGTATTGGATAAAGACTCTGTATTATCTAGAATGCACTCATTAGTATTAGAATTAACAACTGAAATCGGAACAGACTCACATGGTTCCTGGAATTGTATTTGATCAACATGTCGATTGTGTGTACTTATGTCATTGATATCTAGAAGTCGCACCATAGATTTCCCGACATTCTTCAGAACAATCCCCGTAGATGGTCA